TCTCCTTCATAACTGAAGGCCAAATAAAAACCTTGCATAGCAAAGAAAAATTGAAACAATACATCTCCACCAAACCAGCCCTACAAAAGATTCTTAAAGATGTCCTACACATAGAAAACCAACAAGACCGCAATAAAGGCCAAGAAACTGCACCCAAACTGAGAATCCAAGAACCATAGGAAGAACCCAGTTTTCGCAGCCCCCAAGAAGGTAGGTAACATGGCAGGAACTCCCAAATACCTCTCAGTCCTATCTAATGTTAACGGACTGAACTCTCCAATTAAGCGACATAGACTGTCTAGTTGGATTAAAAAACAAGACTCTTCTATCTGCTGCCTGCAGGAGTCACATCTTGCCCGTAAAAACAAACACATTTTCAATGTTAAAGGCTGGAACAAAATCTACCAAGCAAATGGACCGCATAAACAGGCAGGAGTTGCAATCCTAATATCAGATAAAATAGACTTCAAATTAAAATTCGTGAAAAGAGATAAAGAAGGTCGCTACATACTAATTAAAGGATCTCTCCTTCAGGAGGATATTACAATTCTAAATATCTATTCGCCAAACAATGGAGCACCCAAATTTATCAAAGAAACACTACTTTCCCTCAAATCCCATATAGATCCAAAGACATTAATTGTTGGGGATTTTAACACACCACTCTCCCCACTAGATAGATCAACTCGGCAAAAACTCAACAGAGAAACCGCAGATCTAAACAGCTGCATAGATCAACTAGACTTAACAGACATTTACCGAACATTTCACCCAGCAGCATCAGAATACACGTTTTTCTCAGCAGCACATGGAACATTTTCTAAAATAGACCATATTTTAGGCCACAAAGCAAACTTGTCTAAATTCAGAAACATTGAAGTTATACCTTGCATTCTCTCTGACCACAAGGGAATAAAATTAGAACTCAACACCAAAAGCCACCAAAGAAAGTCCGGTATCACATGGAGGCTGAACAACACACTGCTGAATCATGAGTGGGTCATGGAAGAGATTAGAAAGGAAATTCAAATGTTCATGCTATTCAACAAAAATGAACACACAAAATACCAGCTCCTCCGGGACACAGCAAAGGCAGTACTCAGAGGCAAGTTTATAGCTCTGAGCTCCTACATCAACAAATTGGAGAGATCTGAAACTAACAATTTAATGACACATCTAAACCTCCTTGAAAAAGAGCAGCAAGATAAACCCCAATCCAGTAGACGGAAAGAAATAATCAAAATTAAATCAGAATTAAATGAATTAGAATCCAAAAAAACTATAGAAAGAATCAACAAAACAAAGAGCTGGTTCTTCGAAAAACTTAACAAAATTGACAGACCCTTAGCAAATCTTATCAGAAAAAGAAGAGAACACACCCAAATTAATAAACTCAGAGATGAGAATGGAAACATCACCACGGAAACAAGCAAGATTCAGAACATAATAAGGGAATACTTCTCAAAACTTTATGCTAATAAGTTTGAGAACTTGACAGAAATGGACCTCTTCCTAGCAAATATTGACATGCCAAAACTAAACCAAGATGAGTTAAACTATCTTAACAGGCCCATATCAAGCATTGAAATAGAAACAGCAATAAGAGACCTCCCAGCTAAGAAAAGTCCAGGACCAGATGGTTTTACAGCGGAACTTTACAAGGCCTTCAAAGCAGAGCTCACACCAATTCTCCTCCAACTCTTCAATGAAATTGAAAGAGAAAGCTCACTACCGAACACATTCTATGAAGCCATCATAACCCTCATCCCAAAACCAGGTAGGGACTCATCAAAGAAAGAGAACTATAGACCCATTTCTTTGATGAACATTGATGCAAAACTTCTCAACAAAATTTTGGCCAACCGACTTCAACAATTCATCCAAAAAATCATACACCACGATCAAACAGGATTCATTTCAGGGATGCAAAGCTGGTTCAATATACGCAAATCAATTAATATTATTCATCACATCAACAGGAGCAAGAATAAGAACCACATGGTTATCTCAATAGACGCAGAAAAAGCATTCGACAAGATCCAACACCCCTTCCTGATGAAGGTTTTGGAAAAATTAGGAATCCATGGAACATTCCTCAATACAATAAAGGCTGTATATGACAAACCTACAGACAGCATTATACTCAATGGTGAAAAACTAAAGCCATTTCCTCTTAACTCAGGAACAAGACAAGGATGCCCACTCTCTCCACTTCTCTTCAATCTAGTATTAGAATGCCTAGCTACAGCAATAAGACAAGATGCAGACATAAAGGGGATCCAAATAGGGAAAGAAGAAATAAAACTCTCCCTCTTTGCAGATGACATGATCTTGTATTTAAAGAATCGCATAGACTCCACTCCCAAATTACTCAAGCTGATTCAAAACTTCGGCAAAGTAGCAGGTTATAAAATTAACCCCCAAAAATCAATGGCTTTTCTGTATGCCAACAATGAGAAAAGTGTGGCTGAAATTAGGAAAGCAACTCCATTTGTAATAGCCCCACAAAAAATAAAATACCTAGGAATTAACTTAACTAAAGAAGTGAAGGACCTCTATGATGAAAACTTTAAAATCTTGAAAAAGGAAATCAACACAGAACTTAAAAAATGGCAAAACCTCCCATGCTCCTGGATTGGAAAGATTAACATCGTGAAAATGGCAATACTTCCCAAGGCTATCTACAAATTCAACGCAATACCTATCAAAATTCCACCCTCATTCTTCAAGGAAATAGAAGAGGCAATCCAAAAATTCATATGGAACAATAAAAGACCCCGAATAGCAAAAACGCTCCTCAACGGAAAGAACACTGCTGGAGGAATATCAATACCAAATTTCAAACTCTACTATAAAGCCATAGTAATCAAAACAGCTTGGTATTGGCATAAGAACAGACCTCAGGACCAATGGAATAGAATTGAAAACCCAGAAATGAACCTACAGACCTATAGCCATCTAATCTTCGATAAGGGAGCTAAAACAATAGAATGGAAGACAGACAGCCTCTTCAGTAAATGGTGCTGGCAAAACTGGTTAACTACATGTAGAAAACTAAAGCTAGATCCTTATATATCACCCTGCACCAGAATCAACTCCAAATGGATCAAAGACCTTGAACTCAAAGCAGACACTCTGAAAACATTACAGGATGGAATAGGAGAAACCCTGGGTCTCCTTGGCTCAGGCCGAAATTTTCTGAATAGAGACCCGGAAACACAACAAATCAAAGAAAGGTTGGACAAATGGGATTGTATAAGGTTGCAGAGCTTCTGCAGGGCAAATGACATAGCTAGCAAGATCAATAGAAAGCCCACGGATTGGGAGAAGATCTTTACTAGCCATACAACGGACAAGGGTCTCATATCTAAAATATACTTGGAACTCAAAAAATTAAACCACCCAACAACAAATCCTCAAAGAAACAACTGGCAAATAAGTAAGTGGGCAAAAGACTTAAAGAGAAGCTTCTCTGAAGAAGAAAGAAGGATGGCCAATAGACACATGAAGAAATGTTCAACATCCCTAGCCATAAAAGAAATGCAAATCAAAACAACATTGAGATATCACCTCACTCCAGTTAGAACAGCAAAAATCAAGAACTGTAACAACAACAGATGCTGGAGGGGATGTGGACAGAAAGGAACCTTACTTCATTGTTGGTGGGAATGTAAACTTGTTCAACCACTTTGGAAAGCAGTATGGAGGTCCCTCAAAAGACTCCACATAGAGCTCCCCAATGACCCAGCAATCCCACTTTTGGGCATTTACCCAAATGATCACAAACATGGCCACACTAAAGCTACCAGCACAACTATGTTTATTGCAGCATTATTTACCATAGCTAAGATATGGAACCAACCCAGATGCCCCTCAGTAGATGAATGGATCAAGAAGATGTGGTATATATAAACAATGGAATTCTATGCCTCCATCAGAAAGAATGACATTGCCCCATTTGTTAGGAAATGGAAAGGCTTGGAAAAAATTATATTAAGTGAAGTAAGCCAGGCCCAAAGAAACATAGGTCCCATGGTTTCCCTTATTTGCAATATCTAGTATAGGTATGAGTCAAGCAAAAAAGTCAGAGAATGTGATGTTAGGAAAACGAACCCTCAAATATGTATTTTAATGTTTTTGTTTCTTTCATGCATATGTTTCTAACGCATTTATAAGATTATTTCTTTGTTGCTTTGTATGTCCCTCCCCCACAGTGTAACCCCCGCTTTCACTATATTTGATGTCAGTATAACATGTGGCGGAGACGGGGACAAACAAGTCGTTTAAGGATTCAGGTGGACCTGTTGCAACAATGAGAAGTACAAAATGTCATGTCAAAACCAGCTTTACAATGTCGGTGGGGGGGGGGGGGGAGGGGATGATTGGGTGGGGGGTAGGGGGGAGGCTCGGAAGGGAGGTGAAGGGTAAACAAGGGAGGAGGCTGCAATGCTTGGTAAGAAATGTAAGCATTATCCTGCCCATGTAATTGTAACCCCTCTGTACAGTATGTTCTCAAATAAAATAAAATTAAATTAAAAAAAATATTAATTTCATAATAATGCCTTAATCTTCACTAAACTAATACAATAAACAAGGCTATTCAATGTTTCAGTGAACATGGCAATGTGCCACTGAAAATTTCTCCTCAAGTTAATCAATAATGATTAATCATAGGCTTGAATTAGAATCTAGTCATTAGGAAATTATTAACAGAAGAAATGTGTGTGTGCATGTGCATATGTGGGTATGATTAAGCATCCCTAATGTACAAATATGAAATGTCTACAAACATTTTACATACCAATACAACCAATATAATAGTACTATTGAGAAATTCCACATCTAACCCTATGTGACAGCTCAAATCATAGGAACACCAAAAATATTATAGAAAATTACCATAAAGCTATCTATATTTTTGAGGTATATATGAAAACAAGCTTGTCCTAACCTAAGTAACAAAGCGTTTAAAACAGAAATGTTGCTATGCACAACATTACCTTCAGGAGTAACTGCAGAAGGACAGACTTCTTTGAGGAGGTCTCCTAGTGTATGCAGTTGCCCATCTGCAGCCACTGGACGAAATAGCTTCTGAATAAAAGGCTGTTCTGTCGTTGTCTATTTGAAAAAAAATAAACATAAAATAAGCCAATTAAAAGAATAAACAATGAAACCTTTGCTGCTGCTAATTACAGATTAATAGATCATTGCATTTTTATGCTGGCATTGTAAGGTGTAATCAAGATACCTAACATCAGAGATGTGGTAACACTTTTAACATGATAAATCAAGCACATCTAATCCTTAGGAAACAATTGTGCTAATCGAGAGCACAAGACATTCTAAATATATCTGGCCAAACTCTTCAAAAAAGCCAGGCCTTGAAAAACAAAACAGAAAAAGAACAGAGAGGGAAATTCTGATCAGAATTTATTTATTTATTTAAATTGATTTATTTATTGGGGAGGGGGCGGTCGTGGGGCCTGAACTCTGAGCCTGGGCGCTGTCCCTCAGCTCTTCAGCTCAAGGCTAGCATGCTACCACCTGAGCCTTAGCACCACTTCCGGTTTTTTTTTATTTTCTGCTTATGTGGTGCTGAGAAATCAAACCCAGGGCCTCATGCATGCAAGGCCAGCGCTCTATCCCTGAGCCACCTTCCCAATCCCTGATCAGAATATATTTAAAAGTAAAAAGGGACAAAGGTGACAAAAAATAACGCAAGTAATAGTCTGGTAAGACCTAACAATCAAGTTCAACAATAAACTCTGGCTAAACACATTGGGGGACCAGAGGCAAGTGTGGCTCATGTGGCAGAGTGCCAGCTATCAGCAAGAAAGCCAAGCAAGAGCTTAAGACCCAGCTTAAGACTGAGTTTAAGCTGGGAAGGTGGCTCAGTGGTAGAGCGCTTGCCTCACAGGCATGAGGCCCTGGGTTCGATTCCTCAGCACCACATAAGCAAAAAGAAAAAAGCTGGAAGTGGCGCTGTGGCTCAAGTGGTAGAGCGCTAGCCTTGAGCTGAAGAGCTGAGGGACAGTGCCCAGGCCCAGAGTTCAGGCCCCACGACCAGACCCCCCCAAAAAAAATAAAAAAAAAAATAAAGACTGAGTTTAAGACCCAGTACTGGTCCCCAGCAAAATAAATCCAAAAACAAACAAACCCCTCAAAAAATAAAGAACAATTTTCAAGTCTATTATAAAATTTCAAGGTAATTTATTTATTTTTTTCTTTTTTTTCCCCGGTCGTGGGGCCTGAACTCTGGGCCTGGGCGCTGTCCCTCAGCTCTTCAGCTCAAGGCTAGCGCTCTACCACTTGAGCCACAGCGCCAATTCCGGCTTTTTTCTTATATGGTGCTGAGGAATTGTACCCAGGGCCTCATGCATGCAAGGCAAGCGCTCTACCACTGAGCCACCTTCCCAGCCCCTCAAGGTAATTTATTAAGCAAATTTCTATGGCATGACAGTCTCCTAAGAATTTGAGTAATATTTACAATACAGTTTACATGACTTTGCCCACATTTAAAATAGCTTCATTTTCCTCAACTACCCTACTGATGGAGGCATCAAGGTCTTGCCAACTGGTATGTGACGAGCATTTCATCTTCTACCACTTTTTCTTAACCACGAATTTATTCATTTGCACTCTCTCTCAGAAATAAGATCTCAGTAATATGCAATTGCACATAATTCACATCATAAACTGAACTTTTTGGTAATTTTTTAAATGTATGATTAATGTACTTCAAATTTTGTATGTAGTGAGGGATCCTGGGGCTTGAACTCAGGGCCTGTCCCTAAGATTTTTTTTCCTCAAGGCTAGTACTCAACCACTTGAATCACAGCTCCATTTCTGGCTTTGTCTGATGCTTACTTGGAGAGAAGAGTTTCATGGACTGTCCTGTGCAGGCTGGCTTTGAACCACAATCCTCAGATCTCAGCCTCCTGAGTAGGTTGTGTAAGCCACTAAAGCCTGGCTCCTCAAGCGACATTCTAGGGCTTGAAAGCTGGAACTGGGTGTTGTCCCTAAAATTCTCTTCTTGCCCACCTCGCCCCTTTTTTTTCCCCCATCGGCCATGGGGCTTGAACTTTGGGCCTGGGTGCTGTCCCTCAGCTCTTCAGCTCAAGGCTTGCCCTCTTCCACTTGAGCCACAGTGCCACTTCCAGCTTTCTGGTGGTTAATTGGAGGTAAGAGTGTCACAGACTTTCCTGTCGAGACTGGTTTTGAACCGAGATCTCTACCTCCAGAGTAGCTAGGATTACAGGCGTGAGCCACTTGTGCCTGGCTGTGTACTTGTTTAAGAAGCCGTAGTTCCCCACACAAATTGAAACCAAGAACAAGAGCATGCCCAGACAAGTAGTTCACTAGGTAAAGATAATAAGGGTTAACAGTTCAGATGGAAGGAACAGCTAGAAGACTGCAGTAGCAACAAGTCAGCCACCATGTACTTTGGGCTAGGAAGAGGCAAAGGAAGTGAAGTGATGAGGTCTAATGGCAAGTCCCACTGAGTGTGATGATTTGGTTAAAAGGTAAAATGAGGCTAGCCAGTGAGAAGTTGACTGAATAAGCCAAGTTTATATAATGACAACTGGGACAGTAGAACAAGGGCAGAAATGCATTCTCAGTTTAAAAAACACTCAAAATGGACCACCTATAGTCTGACCTGTAAGGTAGCTTAGCTCTTATAAAATTACCTGAAAACAATATAACCAGGAATACTCAAGTCACCCTAGTTACATAAAAAAAAAAAAAAAAAAAAAAAGCCCTGTTATTTCTAAGCACCTCTCCTTCCAGTCTCTGCACTGAAAAGCTATTTATTTTATTATTATTTTTTTTCAGTCATGAGGCCTGAGCTCTGTGCCTGGGTGCTGTCCCTCAGCTCTTCAGCTCAAGGCTAGCGCTCTACCACTTGAGCCACAGCGCCACTCCAGCTTTTTCTGCTTATGTGGTGCTGAGGAATCGAACCCAGGGCCTCATGCATGCAAGGCAAGCACTCTACCACTGAGCCAACTTCCCAGCCCTGAAAAGCTATTTATAAAAGGTCTGCTCATCAACAATCTTGTGCAATTAACATAGTCACTTAGTTAACAATACTAAATTCTGTAGTGGTATCATGACAACTCTCAGGGCTGCCTGCAAGTGCAAAGAAAGAGCCTATCCCAAACACAGCCAAGTAGGTTAACATCAGTGATGATAAAACAAGAAGTGCTGACTTACTTCAGAAATTTAAACATTGGAAAATATATAGATAATGTAAGAGGAACATTACCACAAATAGAGATAGGAGTCTGAGTCTTATGACTGATTTCAGTATATACTACAACAAAAAATTGTAAAAGAGGGGCAGGCATTGAAGCCAGAAAGAACTGGCTGAAAGTCTTGGTTCCACTATTTATTTTGGAACTATTGGCACAATATCTAACATATGTAAACTTCAATTTCCTCAACTGAAAATAACTCACATATGGATTTATATGAATGGATGTAACACCCACATTGTATAGTTTTTGAGATAATAAAATGTACAGTATAACCCTGGCATATGATAACTTATAACTTTAAGGACCATACCACTACCAGGACCACCACCATATTAGAACACTGCTGTGTATATTTTAACCATTATCTTATGCATAACTTAACATCATCCAAATTTAGTGCAAACTTTTATATACTCTGAGTTTCAATCTCTTTACTCTAAATTCACTTTCTTGATACAAAAGGTACCAAATCATGAAATTCAGCAGCTTCTATTTTAGTATTCACTTACATGAAATAAGAAAAAAAATAAAGTCATTTTAGGACATTATCCAAAACACATCTAAAACTTAATATCAAGAGCTGAGCATGTCTCAGACGGGTATAGCACTTTCCTCAGTACTACTACCATTAAATAAAATACTGATAAACTGGATTTTAAAAAACATTTCCAACAAAAGTCTGAATTTCTAATATATGGTACATGCTCAGATGCTCAAAATTCAATATTTAAAAAAAAATAAAGAATCTAGGAGCTGAGCACTAGTGGTTCACACTTATAATCTTAACTACTCAGGAAGCTGAGATGAGGATCATGGTTTGAATAAGCCAGGCAGGAATTAAACACCAGAAAACTGGAGGTGGCACTATGTTGGAAAGTGGTACAGCACTAGCCTTGAGCAAAAGATCTCCGAGACAGCACCCAGGCCCTGAGTTCAACCCCCCCAGGCACTGTGTTCAACCCCTCATGGACTTACAAAACACACACACAAACTCACACACAAAACAATCTAGAAAACTGGCAAAAGATAGGGACAGAAATTTTGTTAAAGAGAACACAAAGGATTTTTTTTAAGCAGATGCTCAACACATCATTATTAAAGAAATATAGTAAAAAATCACAATGTACTACCACTACATACCTACCAAAATAATTCTTATTAAATGTGACTTTAAGCTGGCAGTGATAGCACAATTCCAGGCCAGTTCCTGTCTCAACACCCTACCACCCCCAAGTGATACTTTATAGTATTTTACAGAACACTAATAAAGGTTTTATGTTGAGGTATGAACCAAGAAGATGGTTACATACTATAATGATTATAATAACATATACCCTATAGTCAACTCTATTCCTAGCTTAGTATTAATGTGACTTTTGTGGTTTTGGTGATAAGAGATTTTTTTGTGAATTAAGAGATTTTGATTTGTTATATATGATAATTTATAGCTATAGTCAGTGACCATCAAGAGAAGAACGAATCTCACTAAGAGTTTCTACTCATTGAAACAAAGTGATCTTTTCTTCTCTAGTGGCTGGGGTTATAGGCACAGCCTACTATGCCCAGCTTGATACTCGATTTTCAAACAAGCAGCCAAGAGAGTATGTGCCTCTAATCCCAACACCGGAAGGCAGAGTTATGCAGAATATTATTAAATATGAGTAAAGAACTTAGAATGTAAATTTCATTGAATATCGAATTTCAAATAAAAAACTTACACTGTCAATCAGAACTTAGACTATAAATCATAATACAGAATTTTACTGAATCACATACATGACATTCCATTAACAGTGATAACAGGTATTATGAGAACTGAGAAGAAAGAATATTGTTGTTTCCTGCTTAAAAAGGGCTTAAAGG